CTTACCCTGAAGTGGGTGGAGAAATTTTAAAAATTCACAACACGGTTCCAGAGCACTCCAGACACCGGGAAAAAGTGGTTTAAGGTCATCGAGGGGTCACCGGTTCACAAGTGTAAGCATACCTGTTGTGTGTGGAGCGTGCGTCAAGGTGAGCGGGGCCAGCCTCAAAAATTCTTCAAGCGGTTCCAGAGCACTCCAGGCACTTCGGACCTCTATGTGATACGGCCCGGCTTTGCGGGGCGTGGCTCCATCGCGCCTACCTGCATTCGTACGATCAAATGCTCGACTAATACCCGGCTTTTCTCTCATCTGTCCACTTGATCAACGCTCCTTACCACCACTCCATACACCGTAATAGTGTTGAAAGGAGCAGGTATGATGCTATTGGTCAAAGAATGTTGACCACCTGTGAGGCTGATACTAGGCGGCTAATGAAATGTGTGGAAGAAGGTAAGCGCGGCGGAGCCGCGCAGTATCCTAGGAGGCGCGCCGGAGTCAGCCGGCGAAGCCGGCTGTATTACATAATTTGAAAACATGAAACCTTTCCTAGCTGCTCTTCTCCGAAGTTCCCTCAAGGGAATTTCCTACATGATTCCTTGAAGACGCATGGTACGATCACACATAGTCCGGGTGTTCGTGACTATCAGCCCCATAGGTTCGAAGCGTAGCGGTTTCCCATCCGAACATGCGCAGAATGGAGATCCCGGGTCGTGAAACACGCATTCCTCCACGCTCCGCCCAAAATGCAACTTGCGGCGCAGACTCGCGATCCTGTTTATACTAATAGCCGTCCGCGAGCACGCGTTGCGCGCAGCGCCTGCACTTTGCCAAGTCGTATAATTGCGCTCTGGAATACACTCAATTACAATTAACGTACAATTGCGCTTTGAAATACACTCAATTACAATTAAAACGCAAACTCCTGATGGGAATCGAACATTTGAGGTGTTGCTCATGCTGCAAAGTCCGAATCACAGATGGTGAAGATGAAAAAGGCTAGAAGTGGCGAGCAACGAATGTAGAAGTAAATAAAATAAAAAAATTCGATGAAGTATAAAATTAGAACCACCTGTAAATTTTTGCAACTCGGCGCGATTCCGGCTCCAAAGCCATGAAAATACTTTAAGCCAACGAGTGAGACGCTGAGGCAGTTTTTATTTCCATGTTTAATGGGAATGCGCGGCCTCCGAGGGATATTGCAGAAGCAGCACAGTTGCTCTTGAGTTAGCTCTCGTCATCATCTTCGGTTCTTATTTTGCAGCATCTCCGATGTTATCCGCATCGGGAAATTGCGATTTTTACATGAATTTTAAAGCGCAACCTATTAGGTCGGTGGGAGAGTTCTGTCACTTTTTCGAGCTCAAAATATTTGTCCATTACCTGAAGAGGGGTGAACGGTAATGTGAGCACTTATACATCAAAGAGTGGTCTTTCTATTAGTACCACTCGCTTGATTCCTGCTTCTTCTTCTGCAATATGGACAAGAATGTTATCCGCTACCATCGCCACCGACCCCTCCAAATGCTTCTGATAGTGCAGCGCACTTCCAAAAAAGTTCTAGCCGTTCCTCATGCAATAGAGCTGGATGGCTCTCCCACATAGAGCTGGACGGCTCTCCCTCTTGCAAGTGGTGTAGCACAGACATTGCTTCTTCTAACTGCGAGTTGCCTCCTGTAATCAATCATTACGTGG